TACATGAATCAGAAGGTCACCTCTAGGCGGTACATAGATCATACTAGACTTTTCAGCTATCACCAATCTCATATTTTTCTGTTGTATTCTCTGATAGTGGTGAACTAAATTTCTTTACTAGCATGATTACAAAGGTTAAGAACAGTGTAGAACATTATGGCTAAAAACAACATCAAATACAGCTTATTTTCTGTCTTAATTGTTCAACTCAAGTACCACGTACCAGCAAACAATTAAAGCTGTCAAGTGCTACATAAGTATTTAAAGGGCACTCTGTGAACTAGACAGATCATTTTCTCTAACATTGATGTTTACACTTGGACTACAACTGATTTGTATAAACGTGTAGACTTCTACTAGTTTTCTACAGATTTGTATAAACGTGTAGACTTCTACTAGTTTTCTACAGATTTGTATAAACGTGTAGACTTCTACTACTTTTCTACAGATTTGTATAAACGTGTAGACTTCTACTACTTTTCTACAGATTTGTATAAACGTGTAGACTTCTACTACTTTTCTACAGATTTGTATAAACGTGTAGACTTCTACTAGTTTTCTACAGATTTGTATAAACGTGTAGACTTCTAATAGTTTTCTACAGATTTGTACTACAACTGATTTGTATAAATGTGTAGACTTCTACTAGTTTTCTACAGATTTGTATAAGCCTGTAGATTTCCAATCCTTTCCTACAGATTTGTATAACCCCGTAAATTTTGAATCCTTTTCTACAAATTTATATAACCCTGTAAATTTAGAATCCTTTCCTACAGATTTATATAACCCTGTAAATTTAGAATCCTTTTCTACAAATTTATATAACCCTGTAAATTTTGAATCCTTTTCTACAGATTTATATAACCCTGTAGATTTTGAATCCTTTTCTACAGATTTATATAACCCCGTAAATTTTGAATCCTTTCCTACAGATTTATATAACCCCGTAAATTTTGAATCCTTTCCTACAGATTTATATAACCCTGTAAATTTAGAATCCTTTTCTACAAATTTATATAACCCTGTAAATTTTTAATCCTTTCCTACAGATTTATATAACCCTGTAAATTTTTAATCCTTTCCTACAGATTTATATAACCCTGTAGATTTCCACTAGATTTCTACTATGTTTCTATCCACTGCAAGCTTTTTTGCAAGATTAGTAAAATTAAGTTGGTGGGCATCTCCAGATGACTTTTCTGGAATAAAACTGAGTAACCTATGTCAGAAGTCTTATCGCCATAATGTCTGTTATTCTTCATGAAGATAACATGTACACACTCTTGATAAACCTAATTTATTGTAGTGAAATACACACAGCAATTAATCAGTTATATACTTTCTATGTCTCTTAAGTTTAGGCTCCCAGCAGTGTTTTAGAAACAGCAACCTTGATGATTTCCTTCATTTAAACAATACAGATGCTATAACACAAAAAGAATTTGTATGGAAGTTTTTTTTATCTCTTTAAGTAATAAAATTGTTAGGATGAAAACTTCCTTCACACAATAGCTCTCTAATATTTCTATTGGTGATGTCCCGAACTCTGAAGATTAAACACATTTCACAAACCTTATCAAATTCGAGAAAATTGAATTATGAAAAGGCAATGAGCAATAAAACGATAAGAGCAGGCAGTCATGTATATGCTGCTAAAGTACTGTGTGATACAAATGGCTCCTGCACAGCTCTGATTACTACAGACAAATCATAAGTATGATCTCTTATTCCTCAACATTTTGTTACACATATCAAACTTTGTCTGGTCCCCTTCCCCAGTCATGACACACATGAGTTCAGGTATGAGGGGCCTTGTCTGGTCCCTGCTCAAGTCACAACACTCATGAGTACAGGTTTGAGAAGCCTTGTCTGGTCCCCTACTCAAGTCACAACACTCATGAGTACAGGTTTGAGAAGCCTTGTCTGGTCCCCTACTCAAGTCACAACACTCATGAGTACAGGTATGAGAAGTCTTGTCTGGTCCCCTGCTCAAGTCATGACACTCATGAGTACATGGATGAGGGGTGGGGGGGTGGAGGGTTACCTATGTAACATTATTAATCTTCCCATTTTATCTATGCATGATATTTGATACAATCTGCAGGATTTTCTTTTAATTGCATCGTTAATTGCCTATTAGATATTCATACAAATATTGGACACATCCTATTTAATTCCCTGTTAGATATGCATGCAAATGATAACTTTCCTTAATGTCTTGATTTCACACAAAAATAATGATAATAATAAAAAATTTTTTTTTTTAATTGACAATCCCTGATAACCAAACCATTAACATGTAGGAAATCAATATTTCTGAACAGAACAGGTTCCTGTGAGTGAGTAAATAAAATCAAGGTCTATGAATAATCAAGCTAATTTGATGCCACACAAACATACACTGCAAGAAAGAAAGGATTTAAGGCTGCTTATACCCTTTTAAATCAGGGAACTAAAGTAACTAGATGCCAAAATGAAATACCACCACAACATTATCTTTGTAATTTTTGAAACTCACATCAAGTCAAGACATCTCTTTATCAAACAGGTTTTTTTCTGTTTCTGTTTTTCAGCTGTTTCCTGTTATAGAACATTTTGTGAATGCAGGTTGTTTTTGGTACAATTTGTAGCACAACATTAATGAGCCAAAAAGTAGGATGCCTTTTCTTTTGGCAGAAACTAACATGTGTGGTCTACCAGATATCATCTACGTTTATTTTTTGAGCCACATCAATTACCAATAGGAAATATTTACAAACCTTTTCTACCTCCCCAATGTACACACTCTGATACCCAACCTGACATTTTATAATACCTTACTTATCATGTAATTAGCCAAGGGGGATGAGTGTATGGAATGGAGGTGGGGGGAGACTTGCATTATGTAACAGGTAGACAGTTCACTGACAATTTAATCAGTTTCCCACTCTAGCAAATAAGCTTCATTGTGAGTAAAGAATTTCAAATCTAAAACCAGATATATCATATTTATTGCTGTAAACGAGGATATTATCGCCCAATTTTTTTTTTGCATAATCAATTTTCAAATTTTTAGAGATATGGAAATTTTTGCCCTGTCACTCAAGGTAAAAAAGTCATTTTCATTTTCGTGCTCTCAAAGGGGTCAAACTGAGTATGAGTTATTTCTCTTTGTTTTCTTACCTGTACAGATATCAAGGTAAGTTTTAGCGTGAGTAGTTTTTACCTATTTTTATTGTGTGTGGTTAACTAACACTCTGGTCAGTATTTGGGCAATTTGAAAGGAAAACAAAGGAAACTGTAGTATGTTACAACAGTGGCTTCAATCTGAGCCTGTCAGTAAAACAGGGATTACTAGACCCCAGTAAACAGGGAACACCAGAAAAATGTAAGCTATATGAACAGTGGAACGAAATTAGTGAAGTTGAGCTCAGAAAATCTCCAGGATATGTGTCCCCAGCAAATCCATCCACAGGACAAAAAAGTAAGCCAGGAGATTATATTCATTATACGCAGGAACAAAAGACTAAAATGGCGAGATATGCTATTGATAACGGATTTGTTAGAGCAGCTGCTCATTTTCACACTGAATTAAACAGAAACGTCAATGAAAGTACTCTCCGGTCCATCAAAAGTGCATGATTAATGCAGCTAAAAACTGCCGGGAAAGACTAACTCTCTTCTGTTGAATCTTAGAAAAGAGGAGGTCAGAAAATGCGCTTGATGATGAAATTTGGAACTACATAAAAGATCTGAGAAATGCTGGATCTCCTGTACATACAACAATGGTCATAAGTCTTGGTTGAGGAATTGAACAAAAATCATTCCCTTTGGAGCGAATTTGGAGGAAGCAAAGGTCTAACAAAGGAATGGGCCCGATCTCTTTTTAATCGGATGGACTTCACTAAGAGAAAAGCCACCAAAGGTGTAAAACACCTCTTCGACGGATTTGATAAAATACAAACTGAATAATGAAAAAGTCCATGACGTATTTAAGGAACATGATGTTTCACCAGAGCTGGTAATCAACTGGGATGAAATAGGTACCGTTCTTATAACTCCAGTACAATTTAAATTATTTCAACTTCATTTCTCTAAAGATAGTTTAGAAACATTTCCCTAATTATAGTGTACATCAAGTGTGAATTATTCTGAATGTAATGTCATTATATGGAGTAAAACAACAATGTCTGATTTTGTTGTGCAGACCAGCACCCAATTACCTGTACAATGTCTAGTTGTGGTATGGATATAACACGGTTCAATTACTAAGAGGCTGACGTAGTATGTACCAGCGTTACACAGTACCAGTCATTAATATAATCTATTTTTTGTTATCTGCAGGATTGAACCTTGTTCAAGCTAGCGACTGGACAATGGCAGAGAGCAGCTTCAAATAAGTTGTTGGTCAGGAAGACAAGCATCAAGTAACGACACTTCTGGTGTGAACATTTTCCATTCCATTCTCCACAGCTCATATATACCAGTAAAATAAATGCATGTCACCCAAAAGTGTCATTTTGTGAAGGCTGCACCATAACACACACCAATACACATTGGAGCAACGACGAAACAATGATTAGCTATGTCAGATGATCTAGAAATCAACATCAATCATCTACCTACCATATTTGGGCAAGCGTCACGATGATTGTCATAGCAACCAGTTGGCTATTTATGAGTATATTGGAAGGGTCATTACAATATAAAAATCACAAGAAAAAGTCTGTTATGTAAACATTATTTGAGAATATTTGGTATCAGAAAGTTTCTGTCCACCATAATACATTTTACGCCATGGTGCTCTGATCATGAATATACTCAGTCAAAACAAAACCTCAGTTTGTTTAATATACCATGGCTACTCAAATTCTGAATATGCTAACTTTCTTCAATATTTTTGACTGTGTAAAATCTGTCTCATTTATGATCTCCCCCAACCTCCCTAAAAAAAATGGAAATAGTACTTGTTAAAATGTTCCAAAAATTCCCACACTACTGAAGTACCCCAGGTCACTTACCATCCAGTATGCTATGCTCCGCCTCTATCTGCCAGTATGTTATACCAGAGGTGGAGGCTGACAAGGACTTTGGTCTGTGCTGGTCAATCACCCTGATACGGAAGTGAACTGAAAATAAAACAAGACTTTGTAAATAAAAACTGGCCATCACCAAAGAAGGATGGACAGCCTGGTGCTAGGTGAGTATAGGAATGGTAAATAGTAAGACACACAATGATAAAGACAGGAAAAGAAACATCACCATTTACTCACAATTCACAATTAGGAAAGCAACAGGCTTTTCTGGATAAAATGAAGCTGAATCTGTTTGAGTGTTTTATGGCAGGTTTAAGCATTTATACTCCTGTCACAATTGATCTTGGTAAATGGAAGAGATAAAATATTGCCACCTTTGAATATGAAATAAGGGCAGAAAGAAGACTTTAAGAATAATACATAATATACAACTGCAAATCCTTGGTTGATCATTAACATATCACCTGCAGCATAACATATATACATATTGCGACCTGTGTGACCTGAACTTTAATGATCTGTACTGAAATCCTGCATGACCTGACCTTACCAGCTGTAGTGAAATCTTATGACCATATATACTGTAGTGAAATCCTGCATGACCTGACACTTTAATGATCTGTGAAATCCTGCATGAACTTTAATGATCTGTACTGAAATCCTGCATGACCTGACCTTACCTTAACGATCTGTACTGAAATCCTGCATGACCTGACCTTACTTTAATGATCTGTACTGAAATCCTGCATGACCTGACCTTACCTTAACGATCTGTAGTGAAATCCTGCATGACCTGACCTTACTTTAACTATCTGTACTGAAATCCTGAGTGACCTGAAATATTTTACTGATCTGTACTGAAATCCTGCATGACCCTACTTTACTTTAATGATCTGAACTGAAATCTGGCATGACCTGCTTAATTTACGTTCTGTGATATACATACCATCCTCTGTGATACAGTCATCAAACAGTCCCTCAGCTACCAGGTAGGCTTCTAACTCCTTGTGGAACAGGCGTATCACAGATCCACCCTGTCACAGTCAATATATAATAACATCAAGTAACTATACCAAAGACAGCAGAAACAAAAAGTTGAACATTTTTTTTTAAAAAAATGACAAAATAATTAAAATATTGCAAGCAATTAATAATCCAGACAAGCATTAATGAACGGTCATATATCCCGCTATACAAGGCCTGATCTAAATATGACAAACTATGCCATTATGTTAAATATAAAAATTTGAAAATTACAAGTGCATGAGATCAGCTGTTAACAAAGTTGTGCAACTTTATACAAAGGGCTATAACTCTGTATATTGTCCACCAAGAGAAACCATATAAGAATTTTACCACCTCAATAAGTTTTCATTTGAATTCCACTCTTTATAGGTTGTTCAATGATTTTTCCCCATTTCAACAGTTTTTTTATCTTCAGGGTTTTCTTTACAAGATAATGAAGAGTGATAAAACTAGAATGACTTACCCTGACAAACCTTTCCTGGTCAGCATGTTCACGGTAACATCCTATCAATGTAAAGCTGGACCGCTCCACTCCAAGGTTCAATTCAGAACTACAAGTATGAAATCATGTATACTGATTACTGATCATACATCTTAATTCAATTCAAAATAAGGATAAGAAAAAGTTACAAACCATTTGATATCTGATGTTCATTACTGATCTCCACTTTTAAATTACAAAACTAAGAAGGGCAAGTGACAATCCATCCAGTCATGATAATATATCCTATATAATCATTATGTTTTACTTAATTTATCACCCATATTGTAGGAAACTTTGGCACCATCGCCTGGGCCGTCAACATTTTCATTTGATACCGATATCTCTTGCTGATCAAACATCGGGGTAATCAGCCATCACAATGACCTTTTAATCTTTCTTCAAGACTTTGGCCTCCAAAGCATCGACCAGGAGAGTTATTTAACAATTATAACAGATAGAGATCTCACAAAAGCAATTGTATATTATGGAAACTACGGCCAACTATGAGATGAAAACTTCTGTAAAGAGTTTTAAGATCTTTATAATTCAGACACTGGATCTAGGAAAACCTTATTTGACCTTTGAGTCTTTAATGATATTCACCTTTACCATGTTGCATACCAACATGTTGTAGCGATCAGCACTTACATGTTTGTGTGTGAAAATGTGATAAACACATACCATCACTGCATTAAAAACATTCACATGCAATATAATCACCATATACCATATCATCCAATCCAACAACAGGTATTACACACCAAATCTTTTGGGATTCAATAGATATATGATAGAATGGAATGCCTCTTCTTCTGAACAAGTGGTTATCATGTCTGAAATGTTTCTATAAATAGGAAACTTGGCTTTTGATTTCCAAAAATAAGACATAATTCTAGTTATCTTTATACTTGCTGTACATTAAGTTCCATGAAATATTATTTTGATTTTAAAAGTTAGATATATATCTAAGTCCACGGAGTTATATGTCACTATAACAGTAGTGAAACATAACTTGGGTAGGAAAGACATGGGGAAATAATGATAGGGCTATAAGAACTGAGATATTATGATTAACTTGGTGAAGACTATCAGTGTGACGATCCTGATACATACCCAAACGTAAAGTGGTCAATCTGGAAGGATTCACTGGCATGGAAGTAGTGTCCATGTGATTTAACACTCTCAAACACAATCTGGTCAAACAGTTGTACCTGTAATCAAACAAGAAACGGTGTCTAGTAAAACAAAGAACTGACCACAACAAGTTACATCATACTTCACACTCTCAATCACAATCTGGTCAAGTAGTTGTACCTGTAATCAACGAGAAGGATGTCTGGTAAAACAGAGAACTGACCACAACAAGTTACATCATACTTCACACTCTCAAACACAATCTGGTCAAACAGTTGTACCTGTAATCAACGAGAAGGATGTCTGGTAAAACAGAGAACTGACCACAACAAGTTACATCATACTTCACACTCTCAAACACAATCTGGTCAAACAGTTGTACCTGTAATCAAACAAGAAACGGTGTCTAGTAAAACAAAGAACTGACCACAACAAGTTACATCATACTTCACACTCTCAAACACAATCTGGTCAAGTAGTTGTACCTGTAATCAACGAGAAGGATGTCTGGTAAAACAGAGAACTGACCACAACAAGTTACATCATACTTCACACTCTCAAACACAATCTGGTCAAACAGTTGTACCTGTAATCAAACAAGAAACGGTGTCTAGTAAAACAAAGAACTGACCACGACAAGTTACATCATACTTTACACTCTCAAACACAATCTGGTCAAACAGTTGTACCTGTAATCAAACAAGTAACAGTGTCTAGTAAAACAACGAACTGACCACGACAAGTTACATCATACTTCACACTCTCAAATACAATCTGTTTACTGCTTCAATCTTGACCTTAATCAGCTACCTTGAAATGAGCATGATGGTATAAAATTAGAACATCTTTGTCTTTGAGAGACATGGCCCGGACTATACATAAAGGAGATAGCTTATTCTCTGACCTTTTTTGATTTTTATATATATTTTTGTGTGTGTGTGTGTTTTTCACCCTATGGACAGCCAACAGACAACTTGTCTCATTGTAAGATATTAATTATCTATAGTTGTGAAAACTTGCTCCACCAGCTGGGCTATAACAGCCCCTACTGCCTAATACTTCAAATTCAAGCTTTATTAATCTGTTGAAAATTGTGACCATTTGAAAAAAATGCTACAGCTAACGATGTAAAATTTTAGACAAATATTAAATAAATGTCACATGCGTCTCTGTTTCTGACTGTTTCTACCAGAATTATAAATCCTAGAAACAGATGGACGGTAAAAGGAAGTGACCTCCGACTGCAAGCTATAAACACGCATACTTTACATCACAGCTTACGATCATATTGAACAATTATATGATACACTCCGGAAATATCTTCCCAACAGGAACCAGAGCTTGGGCGGTGCCATTATTTTTGTAACAATGCTAGATGGAATTTAAGGAATTCAATTAATCAATTCGATATTTCAGAACATGTATTCTGGCAAGAAATTTTCAAACAAGAATTCATGTTAGAAAAAAACATAAATATTACCTACTTATTTCTAAAGATAATGAAACACATATTCTAAAAGCACTTTTTTTTCTTCTTTAGAATTGTGTTTTACATAACATGGTTTTATAACCTTTCACACCGTATGAAGATGAAATATTGACCAATTAAAAAAGACCTAATACAGTAAAGTCTGTTTTCTGATCACTGTCAGAGATCTCCCGACTACCACCAGAAATACCACAACACCACAAATCAGAAAGTCACTGATTAAATGGAAGAAGAAAGAAGAAGAAATTGAGCAAAATCTAAGCCATATTCACCAGACATAAACTGTCTCAGTTTGTGTAAAACTTAAGAGCTTGTTACTGTAACAGATGTGATGATAAGTAACAGATAAAGTTGTAAATAAAGATGAGATTAGATAATACATGTAAACCAAGCACATCCCAACATACCAGCCTCACAGACTTAGGTACTTTAGTAGTGTGAGAAATACAAATCATTTTGACTGAGTAGTCCAATTAGTATGGTATACCATCTAAAACATGCCATTAGATGAATCCTCACTCTTTCTAAAGCAGTAATAACTTTATTTTCATGATCAGAAAATTCAATAAACATAATGGATTTTTCTGAAGAAAGCCACCAAAATTTCATAAATAAATTTGTATACGACAGAGTAATACCAATACACATACATGCTTTACACTTTAAAGAAAAAAAATAAAAACGTATACATAAATTATATTAATAAATTGCCTGTTGGAAACCAAGACATATATCCGGTACATAGCATCGTATAGACATTTCATACTGTGACATATCCTCCTGCACCCATATACTTGTTCTGAACACTCTTTGGGTAACTATACACAAAGCTGTCTATCACGTAATACATACAGGAGCTAAAGTTACATGAATTTTTATTCGTTTTGTATTTATGAAAGTCAAAGAATTTTAATTAAACTGAGCCTCTGGCGAGGTAATAAAATGTCAAATATGTGATACAATGCAAAAATCTCATATAAAATGAGAATAAATGTAATTTTTTGCTAATCACATTACTTAACTACTTTTGCAGATGTTTGTGAAAATAGCATCCTATTCATCTTAAATATCCTACGATGTAGTCAGCAGCATCCTATGGTCTTACAGTTTGATGGCCCTAATGACCTTTTATGTGGTGATGGGCCATTAAGAATGCAATAATAAAACTATGGTGTATAATATAATATACCAGGTCTTGTTATACTGACAGTTAATATATACAAGGCAAAGAAATAAAGCTTAACACAAAACTGAAGAAACCTAAATGGCACAAATGATAATCTGGTAACAGAGTCAAATTCGCTGTAAATGATAGGTGAAATAAAAATATGAAAAGTGTGTTAGGATGATCATACATAGATATAAAAATGTTCCTGGTTTGGTGATGAAGCTTAGTGTAAACTTGTAAACTTAAAACAGCTTATAATTATGAACTTAGAGAGAAATTAAGCCCAGTGAAGAGCTAAACTCAAGTCTTCAACAAAGCACAATCAATTAGTCCCTTTAATTGTCAACTAAATGTTAAAAACTTTAACTAAAAGCATGTACTAAGATGTTCTTGCTTACATAAAACCATTACGCTTAAGTAATGTTAACGACATTAAAAAAGTCATTATAAAAACACAATATAGGAATCAATTTAGCATGAACACTTAAATAAGAATACAGTTTTTTTACTGGGCTGTTAAATTCTGTTTACTTCAGAAGTCACAGACATTGTTCAAAAATTATTATTATCATCACATCAAAAGAAGCATAACATAGATAGTGACAATGTTAATAAATAGAAAAGTTGAAATTATGAGTCGGATGTTTGGAGTGACATTCCTTGATAATAACGTAGTAACAATAACAAAAGATGAAAGGTTTGCCTAGACTAAGTCTGAACAGAGCCAACATTGTTCCATTGTTAAATCATGCCTGGATGATTTCCTCAGTGCACCTAAGTAGAGCTTAAACTCTGTTAAACTCTAAACAATTCTACAGAATGTGTTTCCGATATCAGAACTCTCAAACAAGGGTTAGCAGCTATTGAATTCTTGATGTTTAACATATTGCAGCATCATATATGAAGGCAAGGATGGGGGTGTAAATTAACATGTGATGACATATTCAATACACAAGTAAGAAATCACTTTGAAATATGCCTCAAGATTCACTTCAAAGATCATACAAAAGACACACATGTACATAGCACCTTTCTATACTACTTCGGATTATATAAAATATAGCCAAATAGTGAACCAAACTGTCTGCTTTTTGCTCCTTCTAGGATTATACTGTTTGCTAAGGGCCTAAATTGTTGAAACTTAGAAATTAAGGAAAATGAAAATAAAAAATCTAGGTAGGAAGGTGCACTAGTTGGGGAGGTGCACTAGCTCAGGGAGGTCACTAGCTGAGGGAGGTCACTAGATGGAGAGGTCACTAGCTGGATAGGTCACTAGCTGGAGAGATGCACTAGCTGGAAGGTGTACAAGCTGGGGAGATCACCAGCTGGAGAGGTCATTAGCTGAAGGAGATGCACTAGCTGGAGAGGTCATTAGCTGAAGGTGATGTACTAGCTGGAAGGTGTACTTGCAGGGAGATGCATTTGCTAGGAGGTGCACTAGCTGGAGAGGTCACTAGTTGAAGGAGATGCACTAGCTGGAAGGTGTACTTGCAGAGAGGTGCATTTGCTGGGAGGTGCACTTGCTGGGAGAGGGGGGCACTTGCTGGGGAAGTGCACTTGCTGGGAGGGGCACTTGCTGGGAGATGCACTTGCTGGGCGGGCACTAGTAGGCAAGGGCACAAGCTATGGAGGTGTTATAGCCTTATAATCGGTATATTTCAAAACTTTCAATATTGAATGATTTAAAAATGTGGTGGCATGCATATTTCAAATTGGATACACTGAATAAAATGAATAGAAACTTTTTAAACCAAATATTCAGTAAATAATGATTTTTTCCCCCATTCAATATCACTTTGATGAATTTCTAGTAAAATATTGACAGATTGATAGCTTATTATGAATATTTTTTTCCGACTGAGAAACACTATGTATTGTGCTATCTGCTGAAATTGGATTGATTTATGATGTGGAATGTGTAAATGTTCCAATTAATTCTGATAATGTACTGTACAGATAGTATCAGTCTTCATGACATCATTAAGGTAGAACAATGTCACAAGAAATTATCATCCAATATCTAGATGGATTGGTACACTGATGTCAATATTGTCCTCATATAGGCAATAAGTCATGTCAGATATCAGATTTCGCGTTGATATAATACAGTTTAAACACATACTTTACTGATAATATCTAAATGTCTTTTCCCTTTTGTCCAATGGTAATGTTTTAGTAATTCATTCAGAAAAACATTTTAAAAATGATTCTATTGCATTTCTGAATCAGTAATCCTAAAATTCCTTAATTAATCAGGTACAGTATGTTTACTTTAAAAAGAAAACAAACACACAACAAAAAATAACTGACTGCTGCAACCAATGAGAAACACACCAGGGTTATATTACACCAGTGATATATGAACAAACATATCATATGGGTGAATTCAGTGGATAATAGATTCAAAATTCATTTGATGAATTTGATATTATGTGGTCTTCAATTTATAAATTTACCAGTGTTTGCCCAAGGTGTCTGTAGAAAATGTCTCATTAGAAACAGAATCCTTCGTTTAATAAGAAGACAATGTATGAGACTAAGATTGTAACAAATTTGGTATTTGTTCTCACACTGTAAATCACTTGTATTTCACATAGGATTAATTATCACATTAAAAGGTGAGGAGAGTCAATCATATACATATATTTGTATGAAAATAACTCTGGGTGGCATCCAATTTGACTCGGTTAGCGATATCAGAATCTTTCAGAGTCTATAAGCATAGGGATAGCAGAGTCCATAAAGTATTTGTGAAATTGAAGTGATTTACCATAATTCAATTCTCTATTCTAGACTAGGTCAAGTTTGATATGTTTCATATTGTTAACACTTGGATTGTTCAGGAATAAAACAAGACAAACTGACAAAGAATTATCATCGGACGTAACAAACAAAATCTTGTCATATAGGAGTCGTTCTTGTTCCTGGACACTGACTTAGTGTCTTTCTGGTGATATATACGATCACTACAATAGATGATGCACAACACAGTTCCAGTCATTTTCCTTTATCACGTGTACAAGAAGTGATGTTTTTTATATGATTTCTTCTATACTATCCCATCATTACTGAAGTAGCTTCAATCAATTTGTCTATAACCCATCTGTTATCATTGCCTTTCAATTTGTTTACGAGGCAGTTTGTGACATTAACCTGAATGTCTAGTAAATTTCCAATTAAAGTCAAGAATTCTGAACTCTGTTCTTGCAATCAATTTACAATTATTAAAGTAATAAGCATTTAGAACCCAATAACACATACGACATGGGTTTTACATCAAACAAATGAACAGACATATTTTTAAGAGGACCAAGATGTGCCCACTTTCTGTATCATAATTACCATCTTCAACCCAATCTGTATTAATGATTTTCAAACAACAATAATGTGTTAGGAGTAGCAATGTTTAACGACTTACCACTTCTCCTTCAGATTTTACTTTGTATCGAGGTAGGATACGGAACTGGGCATTTTTGGCGTTGAATTCATGTAACGATACCTGTCAAATACAAACATACTTGAAATTAATCTTCTACAATTGATAATTACTGTAGTTAAGCAGAAACATCTGCTGAAACATCTGGGTATTCATTTGTAAATGTTTCTATATTTGTTTTATTGCTCTTTACTTTCAGTCAAACAATCATATGTATAGTCACACATTTGAAATTATAAGTTTTTTCATTAAGTTTAAAGTCATGTTGGAAGAAAGGCCAAACAAGAGGTAAGTAAAAAATAGAATTATAAGTGATTGAAGCTCTTAAGTGATCCCTTCAAGAGGGTAAAAAAAGAAAACTGACTCCTGCTTGATTCAAGAGCTGACAAGACAGGACTCTAGAGGTATTCAGGAGTGTTAAGCACTACAATATAAACCAATCAGCAACAAATGAGCAGTCACGTCCAGGTACAAGAGGTAACATTCTTCTAGAATTACTAGGGAGTGAGTAAAATTATAAGTGAGTGTCAGCCCCCGATAGCTTTGTACCATTGACTGCTACATTTAAAGAATAACTCCACAAAGAGCTTCCAATATATTTGTACCATTGACTGTTACACTTCTGTAAAGAATAACTCCACAAAGAGCCCCCAATACCTTTGTACCATTGACTGTTACACTTCTGTAAAGAATAACTCCACAAAGAGCCCCCAATACCTTTGTACCATTGACTGTTACACTTCTGTAAAGAATAACTCCACAAAGAGCCCCCAATACCTTTGTACCATTGACTGTTACACTTCTGTAAAGAATAACTCCACAAAGAGCTCCCAATATATTTGCACCATTGACTGTTACACTTCTGTAAAGAATAACTCCACAAAGAGCTCCCAATATATTTGCACCATTGACTGTTACACTTCTGTAAAGAATAACTCCACAAAGAGCTCCCAATATATTTGTACCATTGACTGCTACTTTTGTGTAAAGAATAACTCCACAAAGAGCTCCCAATATATTTGCACCATTGACTGTTACACTTCTGTAAAGAATAACTCCACAAAGAGCTCCCAATATATTTGTACCATTGACTGCTATATTTGTGTAAAGAATAACTCCACATAGAGTCCCCAATACCTTTGTACCATTTACTGTGATATTCGTGTAAAAGAAAAACTCCACAAAGAATCATATATGATTTTATCAGAGGTTAAATCACTTAAAACCCTGCTTTGTTCCAATACATTTACTCCTCCAGGAAGACTTAGATTTGGCCATAAAATTCTTATGAATGTTAAAATGGTTGAACTAAATCAACATAACAATCCACATCTGAAAGCTGTAAAATTGTAGGCACTACATATCACATTAACAGATGTCTCACACCATTGTTCACCAATACCGTCTGTAAGGGCTCTTCAGCTAAGATTGATAGGTATAATAAGGACAGGTACCAATCTTCTAAATTGATTGGCAATACCTTACCTACAACCAGAATGGCAGAAGTAATTGTGCTTCAAAGGCCAGATATCTAAACTATTTGGAACATGAGCACTTCTTCGTTATAAATGATCTGCTGTACAGAACATACTGAAATTTTCTGGAAATGGTGTCAATTAAACCTATAAAAAACACATGCACACCTTCAAACTACAGCCTGAACAGGAACAAATTCTTGTAAATGCTATGAGCTTTATATCTATGGTCTTACAACAAAGACATGACAATTCCAAACTTAAGTCTACTAATTCCTGTAAAGTACAAGGTCAAATTTTCATTTCTATATATTGTATACTATCAATGAACCATTTCTTAATAAATTTCTTGTAACTACCATTAAATTTTTATTTTTTAATGTTCTACATCCAAAATCTGTCAGCTTAAGTCTTGTATAAAATGTGTAATCACACTGTGCATGATGATGACCTTGACCTCTTTATCCAAAAATTGGAATCCAATAAACATTACTCCAGAATAATATGTTACCATTAAAATGCCTTCTTAATACTAACAGATTTTCACTACTTCTAACATCAAAATTACGTTTCTTTTTATTCTGGAAAATCATGTGAATTTCAATTTTTTTCAGTTCTGTGAACTTGCCTAATATGAATTTTTTTCTCTTTACTCTATAGGTAGTCGTCATGTGTCATGTCAATGACTTACAACGAAAATTATTTTTGAATATTAATTAGCTCAGTGTAAACTTTGACCTTTGATCTAAGCATCAGCATGGTTCCCAAAAGAAAAAACAGTACAGGACTATTTCAGACAACAGCAGGTCAATGTGACCTTGACCTTTTAGACAACGTAACTTATGGGTTATAAGTTATTATCTATGAATTCTTAACAAATATTAATAAATGTGGCAGCAAGGACAAAAGTATACAACACATTATAAACCCTAAAAATGGTTTTAAAACTTTTTCCATTTTTTTTTTTTTTCATAATTTACAGATAACATGTAACTACTTTAGGGAAATGGTAAGATTCACACAGTAGAATTGCATATTTAAAATGAGTATCAACTAACGCAATATCCTGTTATAAAACTGTGTCAACTTCCCTATAGGCTTAACTGTACATCTATTTCATAATTATAAAGATAAAAGTGAATTATTTAATATAACTACATACTTATCAGGTTTGATGATAAATTTACATATAAATGGCAACTCCAGAACTAGAATGTCAAAAGTAATACAATTCTCTCCGTCTAATTGAAGTAATTATGTATTGGAAATATTCTGTGACACAATCAAAAGAGATTCTGACTTTGAACACTGAAACTACCTATCAGGCTGTAAACATTGCCTTGCATATATACATGTATTTCAAGCCTCCCACTCATGGTTTACTACAGAATCTGCAGCTGTGCACAAGTGCTGCAAATTGCTCTTAATTACCACAGTGACATTCTAAATAGTGAGCTAATGAATCCCTTCTACCTAATGTCATATTAATGGTAGCCCTAGAGGACCTTTGCAGTTAGCAGTTAGTGTATTTTCTATGAAAAGCCTAGAGGACTTGAGTCACCTGGGTCACTTGCATGAAGAGCCTAACAGATTCTGCTATTGCTACAAATGATATGTAATTATGTTGCAATCTGTACATACAGACATGTGAATGACTAAGAATTTGATTTGTTTACCATACTTTTCAGTGCTAACTCGTAAACTAACCCCTATCATACAAAAGTTAAGGAAACTAAACCTACAGATACTAGCAGTTAGAAAAAGACATTACATTATGATCTGTCCTAACTTTTTGCCTAATGTTTGAATGACAACAAGCACCTGGTCCTGTCACACGGTAAAATTGATTAGTACTAGACAGTGCAGTTATAAATGACAGCTAAGCAAAAGTTAAAGTGTCAAATAGACAGACATAATGACTCCACGTCAACATTCTGCAAATGAAAAGAAAATCTCAAGCTTCACCTCTAAGTTTGATGTGGGATGGGATTACTATTTAAAAATCAAAATTATTTTCCACTTTTAATTCTGATGAATATTCATCTTGAAATACATTTGAATTTTAACTATAATTCCAAAATTAAATGAAATTAACAGAAATAAAATTCACAATGCATTTATTCTTAAGCTACCAATGCTGAAACAGATTGATGGGGAGAACTAATGAACTGTGACATGTTGTGTTTATGCTGCAGAACAGACAAATATATAGTGTTGTACTTACAGATCCTATCAATCTCTCAAGTATTTCATTATTCATGCACTTTCCATTTTTTATAAATGAAAAGAAAATAATTTGTTTATATGTATGAATGCATTTAGCACCACTAACATCTGACATCTCCTTTTAACATGATATGACAATGAATGAATTATCAAATCTGTGTAAAAACATCAATTACTTCATGTTTACATCTTTATTATGAAACTAAAGGAATGATATGTTTGTTTTGTTTCCATTCCTACACACCTCATCCATACCAATATAATCTATTATTGCACATGTCATAAAAACGTGGCAATATATTTAAGTGGTTTTCTTACCTTCATGTTATTTTTGTCCTTCTGACTGGTCTGTGTGGTGCTCATGTGGACAAACTTCCCTGTAAATATGTGCTTCAGCTGTAATCACAAGTAAAAAAAGGGATAAAGAGTAAGCAGAGAAATGTAAAAATAAAAAATACAGTTCATATGAAAAAGTACATGACAAAGGAATGGGTATTCAAATGGAAATGTTCCTTGTTTCTTTTCAGATTTATTTTATCATTTCCGTATTTTCCCTGTGAACAATCCAAATGGCTCCATTGATTAATTCTTGCCTGTAGTGAAAATATGAATCAAACAGTGTTACATTTTTAAAGTATATTTCAAAGTCCATTACTGAAACTGAACATCTCAATACACTCAATAATGCAAATATCAAAATATTTTTTCTGTCCTTTTGACAGGCAGATTTCATTGTTTTTAAAATACCTGTATATTAATATGATATCTACTCCGACTATACACAAGATTATGGAATATTATAGCTATAGGATGGCACAGACACAGTGTAAAATAATGATAATATGGTGGGACAATTAAGTACTACAGAACTCTCAGCAGGTGTGACAATAATCAAAAGACATGATGACTGTAGAATTAGCTGGGCTGTGATAACAGACTGTTATTTTATGCTTTGAACGTCTCCCTGCATGAGGTGTTGGCATATTGTAGAAGCTCTCTACCCTATGGTATGTACTTTTCTGCCAACATTACAATACTAAGCTCTCTTGTTATAAAAATATTGGCACTCAACTTGATGTAAATTTCATGCATGGATGAGGATGCTGACTTTCTACAAATCTGTGTCTATGAACATCAGGAACGGTGGAAGAGTTGGGAGATGGTCAGAACTATGTAGTGTCTTCAAGTAATAACATGTGTATTTTGTGGTGTAAAACATGTGTATTTTATGGTGTAAATGCACATTACATCTGTACTTTCACTTTATCAATCATTGATATCAGTCTGTCCAACATTATTCCTCTCTTGTATATCCCTAACATGTACAGCTGCATTAAGCTGTACATTATCTATACATCAGTCTGTAGCCTCCTTTATTTCCTAATATTACATTTAGTACCACCATTAATAACACAGTACTACTGATGCCACAATCATAAGACATGTCAGTAACAAGCAGACCAGTTAATCTCACAATGAAGCAACACAAAGCCTTTCTACACCTATCTCTCGGTCACTGATTTAATGCATAAATCTGATTTGGATTTAATGCCCCATCAATACATTTAGACATTATATGTGGTAATGTAATCAGATGTTACATGCTTCGCATGTTCCTTCTGTAAATGAAGAAAGTCTGTAGGGACATTTCAGTTTTCAAAGAAACATTCATTTACCATTGAAATACCACTTTAGCCCAAGATTCTATGTAGTAGGCAAACATTATTATACCTTCGTCTGTGAATATTCTTGTAAAACTTTTGTATGAAACCATAAACTCATGCAATTAAATCTTAACTGCACTGTAAGACCTGTTGTTCTTGTCGGGAATTTTTTTTGTAGATTCACAGTTACCTGTCCTCATAGTGCTGTTAACCTGGCTTGGTCATGATTCTGTTATGATGCAGTGCTTTCTTTGTTGTGACTCCTACAAGCCCTAATCATGCTGCTTGAGAATATTAGAATCTGATCACGTAATAAGTCAATGGGGTAAAAGACTACAGAAATTTCATTGACAGGAAACAGGTACAAACTTTGACCTCAGTTGTCTAAGATAATTTAATAACATATTAAGTAAATTCCACCTGCAAACTTCAGTGATGTGTTTATGAAGGTTTTCTGCACCCAGTAGCCAGCCTTTCAAAGCTGACAGACTGTTTCTGCAAGCTCAAGGAAGTTTACATAAGCGTGAACCTTTTTGATCTAAAGCTAGAAAAATCCTTCCATTGACAGAATTTCTGTAGAAACAATGACAGCCTCATACTGGGCAGAATTTCCATACACACCTGTACAACCTCTCCATATCGGACCCGTTTTCCATACTGCCTTGCCTGTTCTGCTTCATTATCTTTGTTTTCTGCCTCTGCCGCCAACTAAAATGTCAAAACCAGGTATACATAAGTCTTTCAGCATATGTTACCTGCTGTGGTATCAGTGTTGGAATCATCAATATAATGAGACTATGGGAATTATAATTTCCTTTCCTCTGTTTTGCATGTAAACAAATACTTTGTTAGTTGATAAAAAATAAAGCATTTATTTTCCATGTCGTTTTTCTTTTGTGAATAACAAATACACTGAAACTAAACAATACATAAACATTTTTCGAAGTATTTTTTTTCAGGAAATCATCAAAAATTTACCCGAGCTTGCAGTGCAAGGCCGTGTTTGGCAACAGCAGGACTTTCTGTTGAAGTGTTTTCTCTGTTGTCTGCGTTCTGCCATTTTCTGTATTTCTTGTTGAGTTTGTATCTGTTTTGTATGCATATTTGAAACACAACGGCTGAAAAATAAACGTATAATGTTTTCATTTTTTGTTAAAGCTTTCAATATCATGGAAAACATGATGGAGAAAACATGGCTACAAGGTAAATCCTCCATTCTCCTTCTAAGTGTCTGAAGATTGAAACAGATGATCAGTCATCATATTTCTATGAAAGCCAATTCTATCAAGTCCAGGGTTGCGTTATAGAAAATGTAATTCGAAACATATGGACACAATTCTTTTCTGTAAAACAAGAAAGTATAAATCTTTCATAAATTGATAAGTTACTCATACAATAAATAGTTTCTCTATTGGAAGTGCTTTGTTAGTCCAACTATTACAAAACCAATCCTATACAATTACGACTGGTGCTGATTACAGATTTGACTACAGTACACCTATCCCCCTACGTACCAAAACAGAATCATGGCCTACTTTACTGTATTTGCTACTACGTTTGAACCATCTTTGCTATCTTTTTATGTACACATATTACAAAGAGTGTAAGCTACAACGTTACATGGTGAAAATCTACATACCAGGTATGTACAATAAGGCCTATTACTCTTTATATGTAAATTAAATGTCCCTACTTTACATCTTCCCATACTAATATTTTTCTAGCAAATCATAAAATGACAACAAACAGAAATAATGCAATTTGATCAGTCAATTCAAAATGGTGTTAAGTCTTAATTGTCCACCACAACATCAACTAAAATATAGCATGCCACCACTGTATAACTGTTCAAATTTTCATGAGCAAACGTTTTGCTTTTGTGGTGAACAGAATAGTTTGTTGTAATCACTTTGCTGGGGTTTGATTTGACCCAATACCACCTTGAATATATCAAATTATCACTCACAAAGATTACACCTATATGTTGCTGAAGGCTGAAAGTTTGTGACAGCCTTTTGATTCCCAATTTCATAGCACTAACACTTTGTTTACCTTTAAGAAGAGACATGATGTTTTAAATCTGTAAATAGAAACCTCAATGGAAAATAGCTTTTGTTTAAAACAATACAATATAAACAATAAACAAAAACAAATGGTAGAAAGCATGCAAAAACAGCCCCTACTGCCTACTACTTCTCATACACCTACCTACCAGTTCTTATTTCACCCTCTTAAACCCCTTAAGTGAGGTTTCCATTGAGTGGGGCCTGGGGTTTGTATACCAAAGCAGAGAAAAAAGTTGCACACAGAGTTAAACATGTCATTTTGTCTTACTTAATGTTGAATATTTCATAAAAATGTGATCACAGATCGCATTCCTGCCAAATCTCCATATTGAGGAAGAAGACTCCTGACTTTTAACCCATTATTTGCTATTTTCAACAAGAGAATTTTCTAAAATATTCTTATATTGTAAGATCTGTTTTTTTTTCATTTGAATGAACAACCCAAAACAAGCCATTTACAAAATAATGTAATTTCTTCAATGGAGCGTACATGAGCACATTTCATTTATACTTTATTTTTGAGTACATCAAATCTCCCCCATGAAATTTTAAAAAGTTGATAAATATAGGGTTGGCCGAAAGTATTTCCAAAGCATTTGGTCACTTACCTGATGCAACTGTTCCACAGATTAAAAGATTACTTATGGATGTTAAATTTCCATAAATTTTTTATGGCTACATGAATACATATTTGTATATTTTCTCTTGCTTGTGACTATTCTTCACATTGAATATATGTACATTCTACAAAAAAGTTAAATTCTTCAAAGTAATATATTTCAAGATTAACAGCTAAAAACTCATGTTAATTTTATCCACTCATGTCTTTCTATCATCATAGTCAATGTGATGCAAGAGATTTCTATCTTCCAAAGAAAGGTTTTTCTACTCCTGTAGAAAGCAAACAGAGAAAATATATAACCTCATGCTCCACATTCCAATTTTGAAAAGCCTGCTGTTCATAATTTAACCAAAAACCTATTTGACATAAAATTACAAATGTTATGGAAAACGATTTCTAAATTTTTGTGAAATACACTTTCTGTGTGTAAAATAGATACAATTCAAAGGAAACATAATATATGTTCACATGTTTGACAAACTTTATAGAAATCTATCAAGTCCAGAAGTTATTTCCCAATCTGTTGAGCAGTTTGATCAGGTAAGTGACCAAAACCTTTCAAAATACTTACAGCTCATCCCTGAGCACAGTTGTAAGACATATTCAACACTATATAAGACACAATGATAAGGTTTAACTTGCCATACCACCTTTCATATGCTGCACAATCAAAAACCCTGGTCCTGCTAAATAAAAACGTTTCCAACCTACATGTTAAACAGGGCGTGCGTATTTGATGTTATAGCATGTCCACATAAGGGGGGAGGGGGGCACCATAACGTTGAGAATTTATCAATATCCAATATCTTTATAATCATTTTTGATGAAATTATAGTTTTCCATTTAGTACTCATTGCACTGCCGATGTGCATAAGAATGACTACAAGAGATGTAAACAGAGGGTCATGGGAAAATAGTGATATTAAATTTAACTATGACACTCTCATGACAGGATTCTTGGTTTCATTTCTGGCCTCGGAAGGAAAGATGTAACTAGGATCAAGATCCGTTTAGGATTGCCGTCGTGTCATGAGAATTTTTTTTTTTTTTTTTTTGTTTACAGACGAGACTCGTTTTCATGTTTTCTATTAGGCTTACCTATTCAGATACAACAAGTCACGCTTTAAATTGCTTACCATCCGATATCTTCTGGAATTCACTTTTTATATGCAAGTAAATGTCTTTATAAAGAAACGCGGGCTCTTGCTTTCTCGCAGAAGTGTTGCTATTGTATTTTCTTTCCTCCGATTGGAGAGTTCTGACGAGCATTGAAACGGAATACGGAACGACCTCACATACTGATCCGTTAAATCCTAACGATGTTTTGAAACTATCGTTTACTCATTGGCTGGGAAATGTCCAGCTCTGTAAGATCAGAATGGACTCGGTGAACACTCGTCACTGAGCATCGTTTCCTATCCCTCTATATTTTTTTAGGTTGTAGCGCCTGCCGGAATAACCTAGAAATCAAACCATAAGCAATTATGTTTACTTTACAAATTTGAGTCTCTAGAGATCCGTTTTGGGCACTGTGAATTACCTATAGTGTCTCCTCCAGACCTTCTTAGCAAAGAAAATAATCTGCATTTCCACAATATTTCTACTTTAAGTTTCAAGTATTGTAATGCTATAAATAAAATTGGCATGGCATTTTGCTATCAAAATGATATCAAATCTTTCTTATAGATTACGTACCGTTCTTTAATATTTCAACGAATTTGTATAATACTTGTGCGAATAGAACAAAACTGTCTGATACAAATGATTTACTCGTTAACGCCAAGTTTGGAGATAGTATCAGACAGTCGTCTGTACTTTTTTCCAAAGCATTGCTATCACGGATAAATGCTATTCACAGCATGACATGTATCGATAATGACGTTGTTCTTCATTATATACATGCAGCAATCGACCATGATGGCCAATTTTCCTCACAAGATACCTCATCATTATCATCTTGATAACTTGACAAGATCTCATCTGTTATGACAGGAATTTTGATATTCACAGTTCAAACGTGTGATGTTGTTGTATGTATACTGTTCACTGTCCAAGTCCCCGCCATCTTCGGCTTATGAAACAGATGTCCCTCTTTCGGAAAAAAATCTTTCTGAAAGTTCGTATGTAGATTCCTCTTGGTCCCTAGTTGTCCCCGTTTGATTTTGTGATTAGAAAAAATAACTGACAGACGACCATCTTGGATCGAAACAGTTAAAATTATTATTGCCCCTTGAAGGAGTTTTTGAATTTCATGTAATTAAGAGCGAAAACGGGGAAAAACACGACTTTCAAAGAACAATTTAAGGTCAAACAATGATGGGCCCCACGATCCCTCTGGACTCTCGTGTACTATATTATTACCAGATAACCGATTTAAGTATTTGTATATTTTTTTTTAACATTTTCTTCAGGTTGGTAATGTCAATGGAATAGAAGTTGTTGTAACACAACCAATAGAAGATTAAAGCGTGACGTTTCGATGACTACACGGTCATCTTCATCTTATAACACAACCAGTAGAAGATTGGAGTGTGACGTTTCGATGACTACGCGGTCACCTTCATCTTATAACACAACCAGTAGAAGATTAGAGTGTGACGTTTCGATGACTACACGGTCATCTTCATCTTATAACACAACCAGTAGAAGATTAAAGCGTGACGTTTCGATGACTACACGGTCATCTTCATCTTATAGCACAACCAGTAGAAGATTGGAGTGTGACGTTTCGACACTACACGGTCACCTTCATCTCATAACACAACCAGTAGAAGATTAGAGTGTGACGTTTCGATGACTACACGGTCATCTTCATCAGACAAATGACCAGTGTGAAGCGCACTAGGAACTGACGTACGTAGTGTACTAGATGGTAAATGTTACGGACGTCAGCTTTTTTCGGCTGCACTATTAACCTATGTACACTAAGGTCAAAAATAGTGTGACGAAATGGTAAACAGAATATAGACTAATTCGGGTACTCATGTCGTGAACTACGTACGTCGGTGCTAGTACGTTCCACACTGATCATTTATATGGTGAAGGTGATCGTGTAGTCGTCGAAACTTCACACTCTAATCTTCTACTGGTTGTGTTATAAGAACTTCTATTCTATAGTATTTGTAAAGTAAATGGCATCATGTCCATCCCGCTCATTAAGGATTAATAAAATGATTTGTTAACATGGAGATGCCATTTGTTATATTGTAAATTGATAATGTTCTGTTTACACTAATTGAAATCTGCGTTTGTAACTGAATAAACAAATCCTACCACATATAAATGTACAGCTCTGTATATTGTATCATTAATATAGTCTAGATCTACTGCCAAGTTACACACATTCCTCTGGTACCAGTTAGTAACTTCATTCAGATGAATTGCCTTCATTTTAGTGTTAGGTTCTATTTCTTTCATTAAGTATTAAACAAGGTCATACGCGCTGACACGGTTCGTTGTCTAGAGACTATACTACGGAAGCGTATTCCGGCCACGTTGTGTTTTATTTTATCTCGAAATTTCGAGATAGCAACTCGAAATATTGAGTTACTATATCGAAATATCGATTTAAAATAAAACGCAACGTGGCCAGAATAGGCTTCCGTACTATACAGCTACGGCACCATGCCTTTTTTTGACTGTTTGCTCCACAGTGTACAAGCAGCTTATCAAAAATAATGTGATATGTAGCTTTCTACATAAGGAAAAAGTAGTCGATAAACTTCTGGTGTTTTAGTGATCATAGATTGAAAATCTCGAATCGTTTAGAAGTTTTGTAAAACTAGTTTTCTTTCAAATGCACATGTGGTTTATGGTGTTAACAAAAATAGCGGCAATTAATCCACTAGACGAATGGAATGGGGAGTTTATGGTGTAGATTTGGGCAGTTAAAACTTGTACAATGACCTTGTATCGCAAGATCATCTAATTATTAAGGGTGTACTCTTATCAGTTAGTGTATCGACGTTACGGTCACTCACACAAAATTCGGACAAATATATAAAACTGACTTAATTACTCGTTGTTCATTACCCATTATGTGAAGACTGTACTTCGAGTAATTGTGATTGATTATACCATGTATACTGAAGAGAAATGTTGTCTTCATCCCGTATCTCAATCCTCCAAGATGTATATTTCACGGACTGATACACCCTCTCACCTGTTAAACATCTTGTCTTAATTGCTACCAAATTACATAACTGACTGTCATACCTCAAGAGCTGTGGTGTCGATAAACAATGAGTAAATAGGCCTTGAGTGCTGGCCCTAATTGGCTACCATACCCTTAAAGTTTTTGTAAAGCTTGTTCAGCTAAATTCTTACCTAGTGTGAAACACCAATATCATTAATGTCAGTTTAACCCTATTCTAGAGATATCATAAAGATACATAGAAGTCAAAGGTAAGTTAGTTCAAATCATAGGTAGCATTTTTATTGGGAGGTGGTGAACGCGCATTAATTTGTCTGACGCGTCATGTTATAGGCGCTCATTATGCGAGGTGACGTAAGAAATTTGTTGGAATTTCTAGTAGTTCTAGTAAAATTTGACAAAAATGCTATATTTATATTAGCTTAATTTATGATAATAATATACAGATTTTGACTGATTTTTAAGTATTGAGATATAATCAACTGTGTTAATGGTGTGACGAGAGATGTTCCCGGTCATTTACACAGGTATCTAGCTCAACAATGCTACCATTGTACTGCGGTACGCTGTAACTATTATTATACCTATTATAAACATTTCATATTTTTACAACATCACTCTGTTCCAGTAAACGAGTTTAAAGAGCGAACGTGAATGATAGTATCTGTCTATATAATGGATAAAAAGTATTTAACCATATCGCTGATCAAATCACCCATCACGTTTCTCTAGAGGACGAGACAAAAGTATGTTTAAGTCCTGGATTGTAGGACGTTCTCGAAACTATCGATACAAACACGATATATTATTGGTGATCAGTCACCATCTTCTTGTTTATGTATCTGTTAACATGTTTTGTTGTATTTCAATTAAGTGAATTTCCCATCAGATGAGTCAATAAAATGACTTTACATACACATTTCTTCATTTTCAAAATAGTTCCATTCACATCAACAGCCCATATATATAAATTGTGTCTCGTGCATTCTATGCACTTAACTTTAACTTTTATTCGAGTGATTTCTTATTCTAAAACTGGTAATATTGGTGTAGAGATGGAGAATTCCAGGAGACATATATGAAATTCCGTGAAATACATGGTGTCCTCAAGTTTGATTGCTCTTGACTGAAATTATTTAAACTGTCTACAGTAAAAAAGAGGATCAAAATTATTTTAGTAAACTATAGTGTAAAGGTATATGCTATAATTTTGTTTTTAATGATTTGGTGAGAAATAAAGGATAATTTTTTTTAATTTAGCATACGTTTTCATTTATATTTTTTCCTTTATCTAATGTTATTTGTGTTTACTCGAGTCATTTTCTTTAAGTTGTATCCTAGTCTAGTATAACACCGATATACGCGGACTTTCTAGATACCCATCAGCTATAGACAATAGAACAAAACACCAGCAACTCTTCTAACCTTCGAGACAATTACCCTACCGGAAAACATGGTCTGTCCCTTTGTACTTTTTCCTGATTCTTAGTGTAAAACTTTCATTTAGTTAGATTTAAGCAGTTTTTTTTACCTCAGGATTTTTTTTGTCCAGTAAACAATGTTTATTTAGGATTGGACATCAACCTGAGACTTGTATTACCCAAGTTTCGTGGAATTCGAGTCTAAATCTAGACAGATCCTGTTGACATGTCGGTATTTCCTTTAATTGATTACTAAACATGCTGTGTATCTCTGTGAACTTTACAAGTTTACTCAATGTATATACTGTCGTCCATTCTAGTTGTTTTGATAATTTAACGTTCGACTGCATTTCGTCGCTTTAAATGCTGTCGTGATTCCAACAGACCAACAAGGTCCTGGACATTGCGTAATTTAGTCAAGGCGCACAATATTTGGCGCTGAACTAGAAACTGTAGAGAGTTTTCAAAACACAAACAGTTTATCGAGTAATCAAGAAACTGTAAACATACTTACACGATTACGTAACACGGAATCGAACAACTGACGAGATGCCTCATTAATGTATTTTTCACGTGGAATTCCTTTTAAAAAAATTAAGTTTATATACATGTTTCATACAAAACCTCAACACACTCCTGCATGTATGAGTAAAACTGGCTGGCTGGTCGTTAACATGTATCACTATTGTGGAGTATTCTATATCAATTACGTAATGTAACAAAATAGGGTTTAGATATATTGTTACATAATGTAATTTCGATATTAGTGTATATCAGATACATACATCAGTTATCTCTGACTGACTGGTTGTAGGATTAATTTTGTCATTATGTAACATCTGGTAGACCGGGTGTGAAAACTGTATTTACGGTGGACAGCACTGACATCTACTTCTCCCGGTTAACAAGTATTAGGCAGTTTAACTTTTAAAACTGTAGTCCACCCTGATAAGAAACTCATTAGGGACATTAGATCGTGGCATTTTTATGACGAGATCATATAGAATAGAGATAAAAGGAGGGGAGTTTTTTGGGGTGGGGATAGAGCCATAGGGACAGAGTCCTATGGACAGACAGGTTACACCATGATGAACAGGATAAGGAGTGAGTATAGTGTATATACCTTAGAAGGACTGTTTTTATACAGGGACAGTTCTGATACGAGGCACAACATGAAGTACTAGTATGAGTATATGAACTCTGTTCGTTGATGAGATGTTGCTTTTGTACATGTAACATTAGTATTATTCAATATGTAATAAACATGGCTATTGCCAACAAGTACGTGTGTTTACGCCTACTGTGTTACAATCCGTGAAACTTCCGGTTCCCCGTAGTTGTACCATTAATATACAAGATTTTATTATATACAGGGGTCTTTGTTGTCCTTACATCAGTCCTTTGTTACCTTTACAGTAAAACAGTTTAATTTTGGTAATGCATGTGCATCTCCGGATTTTGTTAATATTATTTTAACTTTAAAGATATACCAACGGTTTCTCATAAAACCGTGTCTAACGCATATTGTTAAGTCCTGCACGGACACATTCTTGCCAAGCCTTTAATCTACTTCACGAACAATTAGCTCTATTACTATCTAATTATTGAAGTCATCACAGACATAGTCTATTTTTATATGGTTTAGGAGAAGCAAAATATCCTTATTTCACTGTCATTGGTCTGTTGATTAGTATTATAGGTGTAACCTGATATTTTGTAAAACATTACATCACCAAAACTAAACGATTTCATTTACAAATAAATTCAGAAGTTCCGTCTTACAATACATATATGAAACTTTCTATGATCAAATAAAGTACAAAAAGTGAACATAAAAGCAGAAGTAAATGAATACATTAAATAATATTGATAATAAAGATTAAAAATTGTTTCGTCAATATCTATTCTAGAATCGGGACCCCTCTACAGAAAACATCCATGGATATCACGTGGACACTGATCACGTGTGGGTATCGTGCTAGATTGATACTGCTTGTCGTTGCCATTGAGATGTTAATTTCAACAGAGTCGTGTATGATGGTTTCCATGCTCTGTTTCCTTCGTTACAGGCGACACGAGGTATATTTTTAAAGAAACTGCACAAAGATATGTTCCAGTGTCTGAGTGGTGTTTTATGTACCCCATATATACATATATATAAATACTTATTTGTGATCTCATGGAGTAACGAAATATGTTGAATGAAGGCCTCAGTTCGCAATCACGTGACATTACAATGAGACATGTTTGGTAGTCAATAATTGGGTTTTTTTAACGCCTATTTATTTTCAGCAATATATGGCCCAAACTTCGACACCGTGAACCGAATACCATGACAACGTCACATTTTGTATCAACACGTTCAGAATCTGATTTCGTTATCAGAATATAAGCAGCAGATTTATTGTGAATCTAAATGAGTTCTCAAGTCTGATTTTGGTCAATACAAGACAATATTGTAAATCATGTTTGCATTAAACCTGTGACTAATACTCACCGTGTTGGTTTGGTTAAAACTGTCGACTAAAACTTACCATGTTGGTTTGGTTAAAACTGTCGACTAAAACTCACCATGTTGGTTTGGTTAAACCTGTCGACTGACACTCACCATGTTTGTTTGGTTAAACCCGTGTCTTAAACTCACCGTGTTGGTTTGGTTAAAACTGCCGACTAAAACTTACCATGTTTGTTTGGTTAAAACTGTGACTTATACTCACCGTGTTGGTTTGGTATGTTTTTAGGCCGGTTCCTCTCCTGGTTAATGTACACAAACAATCCATTGTTTGAGGAACTGTAATGCATAAGAAAATTCTATTAGCAAACACAAAGAACAGGTATGGTTGTATCTAAAACAAAGGGAAGTTCTCCTAAACTACAGACATAATCCTTCACTATAGGGTTTCAACATATGGACTGGAATATACTATCGTTTACTACTATAAGATGTAAAACAATTGATTCATCGAAAGTTCTATCTTCACAAATATAATTTCACTGCATGTCTATCTTTACTCCTTCCCGAAGCAGAACTCCGGCACAGTGTTTGGATAGATGAAGTAGTTAGATAGTGTTAAACGTAAAACTTCAACCTGACCATCAGCATGGAGTGAACGAAGGTGAGTGAATAATGATGATGGCCTTTTCTTTATATTAGAAAAGCACGCATACAGACAGGATGAATTCAAACTTCACAGCAAATACTTTTGTAATTAATCATATTTTTACAAACATTTAAGTTCTCAAGTCGTAACTTCTAATTTTTTTGTAATTTTAACAACTCGAACTTAAACTTCAAAGAAAAAATAAAATAAAAATGAAATAAATAAACACATATTCTCGTGTTGCCCGTCCGGATCCGTACAGCTATTGAAGTATATGTATATGGAACCAGCGCCGCTGAACTTTTCCCGACGGACTACGATAATGATGGTCTAGCAGGCCTCATCTAACGGCACATAATTTGAATAAAATCATTTATAATCCCTAAGATTATATTAATGAATGATTAATGAATGACTCCAGAGTAACCGTTTATATAATCCTAGGTAATAGAAAAAAAGATACCTATGTGAGGTAACTGCATGTGTAGCGAGTGTACACAGGAAATGTATTATAAACTATAACGGTTTTTTTTTTTTGTTTTTTTTTTTCTACAAATATTGTGTTGAGGTTCTAATGAGTTCATACTTATTTATTTCTTGTTTGTGTGCGGTCCATTGATGCGGCAATAAAATTCAACACCAGACTTAGTAGTCTAGAAAAAACTATTTCCCCAAAAAATTCTATCCAAATTCACACTATATATCAACTGTAGCATTTGTGAAGGCCGAGATACTGAAACAGTACTATTGGTACAAGGTAGAAAAGTCAGGAGAGTTCGAGAGATAGTTTCGTATCCGGAAATCATTGCTAACCTTTGTTCAATGCATGATGCATGGTATTATCAGGTGATTAATGGCTATAAAGTGACGCTGCATGTACATACAGCAGTCGATAGCCGTAGTAACATCAACTGTACCTAGTGGTCACTTAACAGTTTCTCCGAACACAATGATATATATTTATATGTATTAAACCGGCATTTCTACCGGACGGAAACCAAAGTGTCTTTGAAAACTTTTTCAAACTAAAAAAAAATAAATAAATAAATAAACATTTTTTTTTCTAAAGTTGTAAAGTTACAATTACAATACACACGTCCTCTTTCTATTTTAAACTTGGTTTTCAATTTTCTGACACAGAGAAACCCAAGATGGAAAACAATTAATTAGTGATACAGTCATCAGAACAAGGATTGCAGTAGGTTAAGAAGTCTCACGATTCCTGTCTTTATCATTCTGTGACGTTTGGGATATAACCGTCTTTGGCTTGGTGAGAGAGTTGTAATAGTATCTCTATTCCTGACGCGATTCACTTAAGTTTCTCAGATGGACAAAAGTTTCCTTTTGGCGAATGCAAATTAATTAGCTGTTACTCATACGATTTACATCTGTCAATAAGTTAGACGAAAATGTTTGAAATAGTTTTAACCTTTTTATTCCTAGTGATTCATACAATTTATTTGAAGATTTTAACATTTAGAGAGGGAGTGCCAATTTAACTTCTCGGTTAAGCGTATCGTTATGCGGGGACCACCTGATGCCGTGACGCTTGTGGTTATTTTGGAGATAACGGGCCTGTTTTGTAAGTCAGTACGAGCAAAAATGAAAACCAAAAGTACATTTTTCAAATTATTTCTTAAATCTAGATTCCATTTCATGTCGTGTCATTATTGAAGGTGAAGTTGTCAAGGTTTATGATTTCATTTCTCTATACCATAAGGATTGTCGAATCTGAACTGCTTAGCTATAGATCTTGACTTGGTAACGTGAGAAAAGGTTGACTTCCTGTTTATCCGGGGTTTTCTCTGTGTTTAGAAATTAACTTCCTGTCCATAAGGAGATATCTGTAAGTGGGAGATATCTGACGTTTTGTTTACCAAGGTGGAAATAAATTTGATGGGAATGACCAGCTTTCTGTTGACTAAGGTGTGTCTATTTGGGAAATTATCAACTTTCTGTTAACTAAGGTGTGTCTATTTGGAAAATGATCTGCTCCCTGTTAACTAAGGTGTGCCTGTTTGGAAAATCATCAACTTCCTGTTAACTAGGGTGTGTCTGTTTGGGAAATCATCAACTTCCTGTTAACTAGGATGTGTCTGTTTGGGAAATCATCAACTTCCTGTTAACTAGGGTGTGTCTGTTTGGGAAATCATCAACTTCCTGTTAACTAGGGTGTGTCTGTTTGGGAAATCATCAACTTCCTGTTAACTAAGGTGTGTCTGTTTGGGAAATGATCGACTTAAGACAGTGTACCTCTGTATGGAAATGGTCATTTTCCAGTTTACCAAGGGTATCTCTGATTAAGAAATCTTTCTGTCTAACAGAAGAAATGATCGACATTATGGATACCAAGGACTATCTCTGTAATCCACTTCCTGTTTTCAATATGTATTAATTTGACATACTTCGAAAATCCCCATAAAATGTACCATTCATTTCAAGACGGATATGAAATTCTATATTGGACATTGTTTATATCAGATAATTCCTAGAAAATATGAGTTTAAAATCACATAAATATTGTAAGTTATAAAAGCATCTTTGTTTTTAATGATTTGCTCGGAACATTGTCTCCATGTCTCTTCCATGGCGGGACGTATCCAGAGATAAATCATGCAGAGATATTAAATCTGAGTGTATTTATGTAAATACATTGAGAAAATTTCCATATAGCAAAAGTAAGAAATCTCGGAGTAAGCCAAGCGTTTCTGTCTTGTCTCTGAACTAAAGCTTTCAAGGCCAACCATCCGTAGCGTTTTATTTTTCAATATTCAGTGACCTCAGCTGAAGAAGATAATGTGTTATAAGAAAAATGGGACTAATTTTATTTACTATCAGTCGTAGAATGAATAAAAAAAAGAACAAGACGAAAATACACAAAGGAAGAAAATGTATATCATTTGTAACAGGGTAGTTTTTGCCTGGTGTCGGCCCATTAATTTTCTCTACCTTGTGGTATAATAGTTTGTATCTCGGTTTTGACATCATGGGACCCATTGTGTCGTTTCTCTGAGAGAGCTATATCGACGTCATGGTACACGGAGGAACGAATTTGGATTCGTTTCTGACTGATAAAAAACTGAATACTTGAGATCATTTGGATAAGCTGCAGACCTACATAAAAAGTATAGATACTGATATGCAAATACGAGAACACTGTACCAAAAAGTACCATCAAACATAGGAGTACCAAAAAGTACCATAAAACATAGGAGTACCGAAAAGTACCATAAAACATAGGAGTACCAAAAAGTACCATCAAACATAGGAGTACCAAACAGTACCATAAAACATAGGAGTACCAAACAGTACCAAAAAGTACCATAAAACATAGGAGTACCGAAAAGTACCATCAAACATAGGAGTACCAAAAAGTACCATAAAACATAGGAGTACCAAAAAGTACCATAAAACATAGGAGTACCAAAAAGTACCATAAAACATAGGAGTACCGAAAAGTACCATCAAACATAGGAGTACCAAAATGTACCATAAAACATAGTAGTATAAAAACGTATCATAAGACATAGGAAAACCAAGCAGTACCATAAAACATAGGAGTACCAAAATGTACCATAAAACATAGGAGTACCAAACAGTACCATAAAACATAGGAGTACCAAACAGTACCATAAAACATAGGAGTACCAAACAGTACCATAAAACATAGGAGTACCAAAAAGTACCATAAAACATAGGAGTACTAAATAGTACCAATAAGTTCGGTTCTAATATTTAGAATTTTAATTTTAAACAAAAGTAAAACGGCTTAAAGTAGGTTTGAATTCAAGAATTTGAATCTACATGCTTCCGTGAAATGGCGAGTGAAACAAAGCGGACATTATTAGAGTACACGTGTGTGTTTCATGTAAACAAAACAGAGAAACAAAACTTCAGCGGACAGGGTTTTATGTAAATCATCTTACGGCATGTTCTCCAAATAAGGGAATTAAGCAGAGAACACAGTCGTTTACTGACAACAAATAAAACGTTTCAGATAACAATAAATTATTTTTTACTAACAAGGAAGAATTAAAGATGTTGCAAAATCTTCCTCTCTTTTGATACAGAAATCTTCCACTGTCATCGAATGCCATTGTAGAAAAATACATTACGGAAACCAGGAAGATATTTGTTGAAGGTTGCTTTTGGTTTAAACAATATTTTATTTTCAGATTTTCATTTACAACATACATTGAAGGTTGCTACAGAGAATTTTGAGAAAAGACTGATGAGAAACAATTGTTGTTTTCAAATGTATCTCAGAAATTGTCAATGTTAAGGTTGTCATAAAAATGTGAAATACAATTAAAGATAAAATCATTCGGAGGTAAAAGGTAGTGAAATTTGTGTATTTACGGCAACAGGGAACCCCAAATGTTAATCACTTAGATTTCGTGTACACAAAAATAAGAGATGTGTTCCTTCAACTTGAAAAGTTGGGGACTTATTGTGATTGCAAAAGATATTGTTAATTACCAAAGGTTCTATGATGTGTTTTTAACGAATGGTGTAAAAATGAAAGATGGTAAAAGGTGTTTCCGGTAAGAAGTTCCGGGACGGCAGGAGACATTGCGCCCTGCTGACGATGGGACTATCAAACCATGTGTTCCTTCAGTATTTTAGACTTATATCCGGTGATATATAGCTAACTTCCGGAGGAATGATGACTGACTAAACCCTGTATAGATACTGGTAAAACTGTCACAATAGATATACTTTAACGATCCGGAAGAAACAACCATCTGGAATCATGCTGTTCAGGTAGCGAGCCTTCCTTGGTCAGTATACAATATATATTCTCAAAGACCATTAAAGTGGAAGACCAGATGTGTTGGCTGATACTTCCGGTCACCGGGTGGTGGTCAGTTTGGATGTATGCACAGATGACCAACACCGGAGACGGCGTTTACGAGCACATGTTAACAGCACACACAGCTACACTGTAACTCCAAGGACGTGCTATATATGATGTATACGAAAAATCCACGGACTGGTAGTACACTACATAAATCAATCCATCCACATGTATCAGATAGACTTTATGCATATACTGCAAATGTTTGTCGAATGTAATTTTTCATTGATGTGAAAGTGCATGAAGGTTTTCGCACCATCTGACGCTATGACACATTATTTTCAGTTTCACAACAAGAAACAGTATATTTTCCGTGAAATGTAACAAAGGACGGTACATCCGGGTTTCTGTAGTAACTATTACTCAACAACAAGTCACATTCTTGTTGATTTTAATTATAAGTAATTTGTACAGAGTCAGTCTCACGAAATCGACTCCAACCGTTTTTCAAGTGACTCAGTAATATCTATCTCCCTCCCTAGAAACCGACTGGAAATAGCAGTGACTCCCTTCCTGGTAAAGGATACTTAAGTTGGTTTAAATCGAGCTATTCATACTTGAAATAACTTAAAAGTTGTCAAAATACATTAACGTCATGGTATATTTGTAGCTTTCCCATCGAGCTGTGATCGTTACAAAGTCATCATATATTTGTAGATCTCCCATCGAGCTGTGATCGTTACAAAGTCATTATATATTTGTAGATCTCCCATAGAGGTGTGAGCGTCACAAAGTCATTATATATTTGTAGATCTCCCATAGAGCTGTGAGCGTTACAAAGTCATTATATATTTGTAGATCTCCCATAGAGCTGTGATCGTTACAAAGTCATTATATATTTGTAGATTTCCCATAGAGGTGTGAGCGTTACAAAGTCATTATATATTTGAAGATTTCCCATAGAGCTGTGAACGTTACATGTACTGATAAGTGACAAAAGGAAAAAAAATTATTGAAAATAAAAACACAGTATTTTCTGAATGTCTAATCACAGTTTGTTTAAAATAAACTTAACCCAAAAGTTTTGAGAATGTCGATGTTTAGAAAGGGATTTTTCAATATCTTTATAATTCACATACAATGTATACCTTCAAAAACAAGCCCGGGATACCATAAGTTAAGATGTCCTGTTGGGATTTTCAAAAAACTTGGAAATGCAAACCAGTCATTAAAGACAGGTAAAAGTCAATAAGATACTTCGCTCAGAATTAAAATGAAACCGACATGTCCAGATCCTAAGACCCTATTGGCTGTCTAACGATGCTGGCTTTAACCTTAGCTAACTACTATACCAGTACTGAACTAATTGGAGAGGCTACTGGGTGCAAACTTTCCTTGGAATTTCCAACCGAATTTCGTGGATAGACACAATTATTATTGGAAGTAATGACAGGTTATCTAAGGTGAAAATGACGCAGTTCATATTAACCAAAAAATAAGTAATTATTATAGGTAATGACATGTTTTCTAAGGTGGAGAGGGCACAGTTGATATTAACCGAAAATGTTCGTCTTTAATTATTTCAAATTCCATAGAAATGATTTTCTATAAGCTCGTGTTGAATACGCAAGTCCGTTCTCCAAGGTGAAGACGACTTTGATATTAACCGAAAACAGAGCTATTATTGGAGGTAATGACAGGTTATCTAAGGTGAAGGCGACACAGTTGATATTAACCGAAAATGTTCACCTTTAATTATTTCAAATTCCATAAAAATCAATTTCAATATAGCTCGAGTTGAATACATCAGTTCGTCAAGGCAAATGATTTAACCATTTATTAAATAATACATAACTACATTTATCTTTCTTTCTCTCTGCGTAATGCCTGCGGCAAGATAATTCCCAGTCATAACAAATGCCAATGTACTTGATCGATGCCCGAAGTACAATCCCGTTGACTGTTTGACACCTGTTAAATCTACCTCCTTTTCTACTTTATTGTTTTCCATTTTCGTCTGACCTTCTTAACAACAATTATTGAATATTGTACGTATGGTACGGATGATTTGTGTGCCGAGTATATATTATTTTTGATAATTCATTAAGTTGTATATGATTACGTACAGTCTCACAAAAATCTTTTTAAAACTGGTTGTCGTCATTCTGTTTTGTTCAATGCTTTATCATAAATATGCAAATGTGAAACGTGTTTGTATCATGTACTATCACAAAAGTCCAAGCCCGGGACCCCCGGGAAAATTAGCCTAGCCTACAGTCTTACCTTGACTGACCGCTGTAAACATATCCTTCCGTTTCCTCGCAGTAGAGAGAGATGTAATCACCAATACACAGATACTCCCCCATCCCCGGCTTCTCCTGGGTGTATCCGTGCAGCTGAAAAATCAGAACATACCTCAGGTACGAATTTCACAGGTGTGTCAAATATGTAACTCCCGTATCACAATATATATATATCATCCACACAATTTACGTTTGAAGAAGAATAATCCAGGTTCAGAATACTATGACCGTTTACACGTTGTCACGCATCAAGGAAGACTACTTTGTTTGGCTTGTTTATTGATGCCTGTCCGCCTTTATAACTAATAACAATATAATCTAGTAACAATCATATATAGTTATCATATACCGTCACACATGAATGCAATTAATCACAGCAAGTTTATTATCAATATTCCATGTAAACAAAGTACACTACTAGTTAGCTGTGTCGTAAGGTATGCTCTCGCCTGTAAAATAAGCGCTTTCCAACATGCAATGATTGATATAGGCGGTGGCATCAAGGAGCTTTAATATCATTGGCGCCACCGTGATGCAGAGGTGGCAACCCGCTACAGGGGAGGAGACGATGTTTGTCATCAAACATCACCCCTGGGAGGGACAAATACCGAGAGATGATCATTTTTGTCCCCAACTTGGAAGGACTGCGTGTTGTCAGTTTAACACTCGGGGCAGTCATATATAAACCAATAGTTAATAGGGATTATCCTGAGTTTACAACGCCGGGAACTTGTAAAGTTCCGAAGAAGGACATCCGACGTTTCAGAAGGTGTATATCTCCAATTTTACCGCAAATAGAGTGGTCACATTTACCGGTATTGATAGCTATTGATTATATTGATTTTTCATCGATACCTGCTGGATTGTCACTTTATACAACACGGAATGATTTCACGTGCGTTCACATATAATGATGATGATACGTGTTGTGTACATCATTCACAGAATATTAACTAATGTCCGTGTGTGATATCTCTTCATTCCTGTCAATCACCCGGCTGTTTAATTCATCCTACTAAGACACACAATCAGACGGTATATACATTTATACTCACATCACTCATATTTCTCATATTTCATCTGAGATATAAAACCTCTGCTGTTCACTGCCATATAGACCTTACTGTATACGATTCCTTCTGATTTGCTGTCCAGTCTTACTTCCGTGTGGACGTTTCAGCGACTACCAAGTTATATAATTAATATCCAACAGAAGTTCTCCGTCCCAATATATTACAAAGTATTACCGCACCATTGTAGTATAGACAATAGTCCAAAGACTGAACGGCTGGTCTCTTCATCAATTACCTCACTATTACGGAATGGACATCTGTTCTCATTTCCGTACGCAAATGCTCGGGTCAAAGGTCGCATGCTTCAGCAACATCAGAATTATCACTTCAGCATAAGTAACTCTTGCCTATTATTTTATTTTCATTTTTTCCGCAGTCACTTTCATCGGTCATTGTTAAAACCATCACAAGACAGCGCCCATTCATAAAACAGACATATTAAATCCTGACAAGGGCAGCACAATGTGTGAGTAGTACTGTGTGGGCAATGTTAGACAGTACTATACACTTTGTAATGTGTTGTGAGCATTGCTTTGAGGGTAAAACTAAGTGGGCGGTAATATGAGGGTAATGTTATATGGGCATACTATAGTACGTTTGGATTATTTTACACGTTCTCATCTTTTCTCTCACCATTTCAAAATCTAGTTGACTTGATCTCTTTCACCACGTACAGTTTAAGTGTAGAAACTTGTATGTGAAATTATCGTTAATGAAGGAAAAGGTTAAGAACAACATTGAAAACATTGAAATCATGATGAAGTTGTGTTAATCTGAATTTGTCATTAGGCTCGGTGAGTGTTTATATATGTCTCTGTATTGGATATATTCTTTGCTCGTGGCTTCCTAGATTTTAAAAATCCTCGATGAACATGCCCAATAAAAAAGAACAAATACAAAAGATTTTGTGCGTAACCATAACACACACGCGAACAACTGAAGAAGAGAAGGAGACCTTGAGGAAAGCTTTTGACAATATGGGACCAAATAAGAATTTGTCCAAAATTAAACCCAAGCCAATTTACATTGTTTATCTTAATCATGTCTTATTGGGTCTCTTATACCATGTAAAACATTTACTGGTTCCGTTAATCACACTACAGCGTTTGAAAGAGTTGTGGTCTTCATTACTACCGAATTCTTTATCACAGATAAAAGATTACTATCTACAATTTACACGTTAAATAGATAGAATAATGAATGCTTTTGGAAAACCATCCTATCACCCCCTGTTAATATTATGACGGCACAATAGACGATCACTACCTATAAGTATGCTATATAGACCTAATATATATAAATGAGCGTGAAAATACGAGAAATTGGTTTACATGTGTGTCCGTTTGGACACGTAAATGAACTAGAGGTCAACAGTCTTTCGCTCGTGCTTGTTTAAGAAGACTATCATACATACATGCATGCTGTATACAGGTTGTAACGACTGGAGCAGTTATTACATGTAATAGTACTGGTAGTGTTTCCAGATGTCTGGCGTCCTGCCTTACAACCAAATAGTCACCGATTTGTTCCACCGTAGGTGGCGAGACCCTTCGGCAGAGCCTTCAACAATGACCATTAGTCGTGTTGGTGAAGTGTTTAGTGGCTACTGGCACGGCCATGCCTGGTTTACTCTGACAGGCAATACACGTGCTCATTAGCGTTTTTACAAATGCTGATTACATGTGCGGCATTAGGTATTGTCGTAAGAACAGATTGTGTTGAAATATAGCAAACATCTTTTGTTTACATTTGCACATGTCAGTGTTAACCGGATTCGAAATTCACTTAATGCAATCATGAGACCTATGAACGCCACTCGACCAGTTAATGTAACGTAACTCTACTATAGAATAATGCACATACTACATGAAAACTGCAAAAAGCTACTGCAAGGCAGCGACATATATAACAATCATTTCTGAAATCTATTTTTTATTGTTCATGGACACGTATATACCATATCAATAAGCACATGCTTTGCGGGAAATTTGATGTATTTCACTTACATCACTAAAAGCGATCTTTGAAATAGCCATGATGTACATTCAGGGAATATTGCGATTCGTTCAAAATGTGTCCTGTACTCCCAGTGACGTTCATACCTTATTGAACGCCACGGAGAACTGGATCCCAGCATCAGATAGGAAAACAACACAAACAATATCATTTCGCTAATAGATTGGGATACGTATTGAGCTTCACGGGTCACTTCACCGGCATGAACACTAGTTCTGGTTATCCTCAAATACACGTACTTCGTATATCAAGGTATGTGAAATCGACAACATGTCGTCGAAAGTTTAGTGAAATATAATACTCTAAAACTGCAACGAACTGGAGATCATAAGTCCACATGTACGGAAATGACTTGACGATGATATGACAACACTTTGGTACGTTGTCGATTAATTTAAAAAAAACCTTCGTCAAAACACTCAATACTTGACAACAAAATTTTAGAAAGCGCGTCCGTTTTCTAGCTTAAGTCGTTGTTTGTTTTCGAACAAAATCCTGGATGAAACGTGAGAAAGAGAGGGTTTATCAATTTACGGTTGACAATATATTTATCTATTGTAATTTGTGTTTAGGTCTTTTAACATGTATTTGGACCCATGGTTACAAGCTGGGTATGTTTCTTGACCAACTTGTTTTTGTATTTATTAAATGCTGAAGTTATCGATAAAACAAAACAAGTTTCAAAGACCTTACAAGTCTTTTTTTTCGCTTTCAGATTCATTGGTAACATGCTGCCTTCCGATAACAATCAATTTATTTACCATGTCAACAGGATAAACTCTCAAGAATTTGAAATCAAAGAAGTGACAGTTCCTATATATCTAAATTACGACATAAACAACAGAGACAACGTTCAAGAAGCCATATTACAATATGGTGAATATACATAAGGTGTTGTAAGTTTCCCATTTCTAGATAGCAACTACCTGCTTTCGAAGTATATGATGTTTACGTTGCATCTGATGCGACATTCCGATTTTAACGATAAATTTTAACATCTTGGCCAACAACCATAATGTTAGGAGATACGGCATGTTAAAGATGATGATAAAGTTGTATGGTTGTCATGATTTCATCGGAAACATTGTCGTTTTCGTCTCTTGTCTATAATCTGATGTTCGTTTAGTTACACTCTATCAGTTGATTTCGTTATTCCTTTTACTACTATGCCCTAGTTCTAAGAACGAGACAATTGTTTGGCCTAAATTATGTCGTCCATGAAGTTTTGTTTTTCACTGGGTGTAAGTTTGGAGGGTCTCTGTATAAAGGTCTATGTTATATTGAACTAGATCGATAAGGAGTTAGAATTACGTTTTGTTTACACGTCGGGTGCTCTTGTTCTGGACACGCCCTAGACAACTAATGGAGTAAAGATAAGTCCATAAAAACCCGGATGTAATTAACGAGTAACACTTGAACAACAAACGATTGTTACCATATGATGAAGCTGACCCTGCAGGGAAAGTCTTTCGGCTGGTGTGCTACCATTATACATTAATCTTTGGGGATTTCAGGGGGTACATGTTGGTAGACATTATTAGCTGGTCTGTCAGATGCTCCACATGAAAATAAACATCACATTAGTAAATCATTTCGTACATGACATCTACAACAACAACAAAATGGTAGAGATATACCATTGATTTTATTTACTACTTCTTTACCTTCGGAGTTCGAGACAGTTGGCAAAATAGCACATATATTGTATGATCTAGTTATCCTGTAAGCAAACATCCGGAATCTTAGGAATTAGAAAAAAACTTTTGACACCTATATTATCTGTGTTTTTACACTAAATCGACCAGATGTGAAGTATGGTCTACGTGTTCAACTTAACGAAGGATTTCAATGTACACAGGTGTCAGGGAACAATTAATGTCGTCTATAGACCTCAACTGTCGTTATCTTTCCTGTCGTCATAGTAACGATATCAAAATTCAAATTTTCATCGTATAATGAACCGGTATACTGCCACTGACCTTTCAGATATAAACGATTGAGCAC